GCACTAAGCCTCTTTCACTATCACCATGTATAGTGCCTTTTTAGTTGATTACTTATTTTGGTTTTGCTTGATCAACAGGGATCCAACCCAGCTCCAGCTTCTGCACGACCAGGTCCTCATGGAGCAGCAGCAGGACAGTGAACCTCAGAACCAAACACATATCCAGGCTCAGTCTCAGCCTCCCTTCCAGATACAGATTCAACCTGGGATCCAAAGCTCCAATAAAGGTCCGCTGTGGTCACCCAGAATGCATTGTGAACCCCGTCCACCAGCTTTCCAGACCTACCTTAATGCCACAACAACCCTGCAGCAGACACCCCAACCTATGTCTCCACTGACCAGTGCTGCCCCTGCTTCCTCTCTGAGCTCTGCGCCAACACGCAACACCACCTTTTCACCTCATCGCTCCACTTCTACTGCTCCTTCTTTCAGCTCCCCACCTTCTATTCCTCAGCTAAAGACTTCCTCACTGCTGACCTCCCCTGTACCTAGCCCAAAGTTGAACACAGCTCCTTCTCTCAATATAGCACCTGTAACTCCGATGAAAACCATTCATGCCTCCCACTTCAGCCTGACCCCTGCAGCACTTACTAAAACTGCACCCACACCCCAATTTTGCTCTCCTCCTTCTGCACCAAAGGTTAATATGGTTCCTACAGATTCAATCCCAGTCTTACAGCAGATCACATCTCCCACTCCTTTGCTGAGAAGCACCTATGCCTCACTCATGAACCTCACTGCCACCTCCAACACCTTCAACTACACCCGGCCTAAAGAGTTCATAGCTGCTCAGACCTTCTCACCAGTCAGGAGTCCTTCTCCAACTGCATCCCCGGTCCCTCTGCTCCACGAGTTGGTCGCTGAACTCAACTCCTCTGCAGCCAGCTCCCCTACCCTCCCACCATTTTCTCCTCCACCCAGGAGCTTCCCCACACGGGTGCTCAAGTCTCCTACCAGCCCTCCGCCCCTCGTGTCCTCCCCTACACCGGGCTCGGCATCTTTCCTGAACAGCGTGTTCTCCCTACGAGCACAGTCGCCTCCCCAGGCCTCTTCTCCCACCTCCAGCAGCTCCACCCCCAGCCCCATTCAAAACCCTGTGGCATTCCTCAGCTCCCTCCTGCCATCCCTGCCCCCAAGTCAGCCTACCAACTCAATGGGTCTGCCCAAGAGAGCTCCATTAGGGTATGGTCTCTGATGAACTACAGTGCTCATGAGAATGGTAAACTGCAACATGTACTAATATGTTTTCTTCTCCTCAGGCCACAAAAAAAAGTGTCCAGGGTGCTCCCTCCTTCAGCTGAAGACATTTGTGAGCAAAAAGAAATTCTCCTTCATGACATTGAGAAAAAGCTTCGATTTAAAGACGATACTCCATATTTTGCACATCAACAGGTACTAGGTGGTCTCCAGCTTCTGATTGATTTTTCCTTTTTTCGTTCCCTCAGCTGCAGTGACATAATGGTTTTTAAATATATTAATGCAAACTATTTGCATAAACAAAATTTTCACAAGATTTAGCTCAGGCCAAAAAGTGGGTCCACTGGATTCTTTATTTAATTTCAGCCTCTATCACACTCTACATCCCTACACAGTTACTATATTACTGTTGGAATATGAATGTCCATAAATGAACAGTTTTATGACATATTAGAAGATGACTGATAATTAACCTTTAACCAACAACTATTGCACTTTGTTTTTTTTAACACTTCTAAGGCTCATTGCATATTAACCAATGACTGTTGCATTTGAAATCAGTTTCTATGGAATTTCAAAGATTTTAATGTTAAATAACTAATTATGAAATTGAGTACATTATGTAAAATATATAAATGAACCAACAACAATGAAATAATTGAAGAAATTATTAGAACAAATTTTTACTGTATGAAAAGTTATTTCATCTTTACAGCAGCTCAATATTATTGAATATTTTTATTTTATTATAGACATTTTCTTTCAAAATGACATCTTTCAAACGTTTTTATATTTTTATTTCATATTCACAGTAGGTCACAGTAATTTTTCAAACAGTTGTCAGTTGTCACTGCTTCTCTTAAGCTGGGAAGCTCAACAACTGCTACCAAACTTAGCCAGTTAGCTCCTGTTAGCTAGGGCAACAATATGTCAGTGTAATTCTGAATCAAGTCAACAACAACAACAACAACTAAACCTCTACAGCTTTTATGTCTTAACAAAAGTGCTTGTGAGTTTGAATTACTACTCTGCATCAACGTAAAGAGCAAGTAGTAGTGTTAGCTAGCTCCATTTAGTTTGAACAAATGAAGAGAAAGATTGTTTTGGCTCCTCAGTTATTTGTATGCTCTTTTTCTGAGCAACATCTAAAATGCTGCCAACCTAACCATGAATTATCCAGCTAGTGTTAGCTGCTGTTAACACATTAAAGATGTTTCTGTGTATTGGATAGTTTATTTATAACTACTTTGATATTGTTGCTGTAACTAACAAGAGCTAACTTGATAAATAGGGTAGCGAGTCAAGTCAGATTGTATTTGTATAGCCCAATATCACAAATCACAAATTTGCCTCAAGGGGAATCTGTAAATAATCAAGGTATTGATCTTACCTGCTTGACAGGCAGGGGACAGCTGAAAAGTGTGAGGGTGGTGACAACACCGCTGTCATATAAAGTAACTTGAAATAAACTGTCATGGAAATACAAACAAAAATGATCTTGAAAAATGCCATTAGGTAAAAAACCAAAGTTGTAATAAACTGTTATGGAAAAAAGAGAGCCATAATAACATTTTATCATAATGAAACAATTTCAGAAATGGATTCATTGCCCTGTTGTTTCATCAGTTATTTAGAATTATTTACTTGACATCAAACACTGAGTAGCCTATAGTCTCTAGCTTTCTACCTGCATATTTAATTTGAGAAGACTGCCCCTCACTAAACCTTTAAACATGCTAAATCATAAAGAACATCAGTTATCATTCCATCCCTATGGCTATTAATCATTGTGTGTCCATATACAGTTACTACATATTCTAATAACAATAGCTTGTGTGTTATTCATCAGTGTAAGTTTGCATGTACAGTTTGAGTGTCTTTGCTGGAGTTTATCACCCATGCCTATCCTCTCATAGAAGCTGAAAAGT